TCCCTCCAGCCCCTGAAGGGTACCGCACGTGGCCACAGACCCCGAATTGGCTGCAGAGACGGCCGGGGCCGGGGTCCCGCCGCAGCATGGGAGGGATAGGGGTGCGCAGCTCCGGGCTGAGGGCGGTGTGGGCTTTGATCCGGGTGGGGGGGGATAGCTGGAGGCCGTATGCAGGGGTGGCTGGGCCCGCCTGGCTGTGAGCAGAAGCACCTGACAACCACATGGGGCGGCCATGGCAGCAATCCAGGCAAGAGGTGAGGTCTGAGCTGCCTGGCAGGGAGGGGAGGGCAGCGTGGTGGATAGGACCTCAGTGGAGGCAGATCCCACAGGATTTGGAAACGGATGGGGTGTGAAGTTTGGGGAGAAGGACACCTTTCCTGAACAGAGAACCAAACTGGGCACACACTGGGCAACAAAGAAGACAATGGGAGCTCAGACCACCACAGGGGCGCCCGAGGAAGGCCCCAGCTATGCTCTCAGAACCAGGCCAAGGCAGGGCAGCTGCTCCCGATGCAGCCAGGCCCAGGCCCCCAAACACTGAGAACAACCTTCGTGGGGCACTCACCCCTCTAACCCTCTCCACAGCCCTGTGCTCTGAGCCGCCCTACAGGTGACGAGACTGGCGCACAGACTGAACGACTTGTGCAGGGCTGTGGGTCACAGTGGCAAGTCCAGGCCTGCAGCGCCAGAGCCCAGGCTTGTAACTACTGCACAAGCGAACAGGAAGGCAACGCGAGGCCTCTGGTGCACACAACCGGGAGGTGCAGGAGGCCCCTCGGGTCCTGTCCCAGCTGATTTCCAGAGCGAAAGTGTGCTCCCCAGTGTCAGGAGGGAGCTGCACCAGCCTCGTGACAAATAGCAGTTAAACTGTAAGCCCTGCTGTTCCCGCTGGAATGAATGATCCTATGGTCCTTCTCAGCACTGCTGCTGCTGCTTGGTGTTAAAGGAAAGAGCTGTTGCCCGTGTCGTTCCGTCTCTATAGGAACGCAGCTCTGTCCTTGAGCCGTCCCCGCGAGGAGAGACAGACAGCCTCCACTGTGCCCAGCCCACTGCAACGAGGGAGACAGCCCGAGGACGAGCGTCCCAAGCCCCCTCCAGCCCTCCCTGTCATCTTTCCATTGCACCGAGTCACAGAACACCCTCCTGTTCCGAGAGGCAGGCAGACTAGACGGGGGAGGGTCAGGGCACACCTGGGACAGACGGCGGTGAATGTGGGTGGGGCTGCAGGTTTGCGCACGGGAGCCCATGTATGTCTCTGCAAATTTGCACACGAGTACGCCTTCCTTGTGTTCGGGTGTCGTGGTCATTTTATGTGCAGCAAGTATGTGTCTGTGACCGTTTGTAGGAGAAGACACGTCACCATCGTGATGTGGTGTCTGAGTGCGTCTGTGTGACTGAGTGGCTGTGCGTGTGTCCCGAGCACAGTCCTGGCGGCAGGAGAAAAGCACACGGGGTGTGTCCGCTCCCGCGGGACTGGCCAGGACGCGTGTTGGCTCTGGAACCAGAAAACCTGGGCTTGAGTCTCGCCTTCCTAACTCGCGGCCGAAGGACCTTTGGGCAGTCACACACCTTTCTGGACCTCAGTTTCTTCATTTGTTAAATGGGAATAATGACCCCAGCTCCCTTAGGGGCCGTGGTGAGGCTCAAATCCCGTGTGGGAACACTTGGCCAGCCTCAGCGTAGGAGACGGGTGTGGGCAGGAGGGAGCAGATCACCACAGGCAGAGGGCTGAGAGTACCGGCCACACAAGTTGTCCCCAGCCTCCGGTGGCTCCAGAAACCTCTGCCCCAGGCACCCACGCAGGCTCAGCAGAGCAGGGCGGCCTCCGACAGGGCCAGCTGTTCTAGTAGGTGTGGCACTCACGTTATTAGTGCGGGGAGGAGAGATAATGGCCATCCCACCCTAAGCCCTGGCCCGTGGCCCGCTGACACATGCCACCAGCCTTCACTGAGCACCCGGTGCCTGCTGTGCGCTTTCCACCTGGCGTCCCCTCCTCACCGCACACAGGAGGCAGGCACTAGGAAGGCCACTCGTCCCGGGTCACACAGACAGTAAGTGGCCGAGCCAGGCCTGAGAGCGGGCCCTCCCGCCTGCCCCAGAGCCTGAGCTCCTCACTAGGACGGAGAGTCTGCGCAGGCTCACTGGGGGCCAGTCCTGAGCGCCCCACCCCAGCCGCTGGCTGCCTTCCCTTCCCCGCCAGTCTCCTCTCTTCTCCGGAGGGTGCTGCTCTCGGCTTCTGGCTCCACCCTCCGCCTCTGTGCAGGGAGGCTGGGAGACCTGGGCTGGGGCAGGCAGCTAAGCCCGCAAGTCTTGCCTAAGACTCCACCTACTATTCCCCAGCTGGGGAAACTGAGGCCCGTGGAAGAGTGGGGTGAGAAAATCCCGACACTGGGAAGGCAAATGAGAACAGAATCTCTACCCCCTGGGGCTGGGCCAGTCGTTGAAGGTGAGGGAAGGGATGGGCTTGGAGCGAGGGTGGGCTGAGCCCGGGACTAGGAGAGCGATGGAGCTGCCTTGGAGAGAGTCAGCAAGACCCCAGGCCTGGCTGCGTCAGGAGGGAAAGAGAGGCGGCACCCCAGAGGGAGGTAGGGGGCACTGTGGAGACACCTATGCACAGTGGACCAGGGATTGGGTCCAGCAGGGCCACAGCGTCCTCTTCTGTCTAGCCCTGTGCCGGCCCATGGTTGGCCTTCAGCCATTCCTTCCTTCCATGACCCTCTCCTCCACTAACAGTGGGCTGTGGAACCTACCCTGTGCCAGGCCCGCCGCCCGCCTTCATCCCCCATCTGCTGCCAGCCCGGTGACATCTAAGCTCGCCCTCTGCACAGCTGTGCGTCCCCTGTCCCTGCAGCTCCAGGCCCATGCTCAGTGCATACAGTTCTCTTTCCACAATGTCTTTCATCCATTCTGGGACTCCCGCCTCACTTGAGTGTGTAGGAGGAGCTGAAGTTGCTAAACAACCAAAGGCAAGTGATGGGAAAGGCCACGGAGGGGCTCGGCCACGGGAGCTCAGTGCTGCTGTGGCCTTGAGAGACCAGACATACAGCCCGGCACGCCCCCCGATGCCTGCAGAACACCTGCTCTGGGAGACGCAAAGGGCTGAGCCCCACGAGGCCCTGCCTGCAGGACGCCCGTCTCGTCTGGAAACAGACCACCAGCACCACAAAGCCACGGGGGCAAACGTGAAGGGCCACAGTGCCGGGAGCAGCTGGGGTCTCTGCCGACTCCATCAGGCAGCCAGGGACGCTTCCCAAAACAGACGGGCTCCACCTAGGATGCCTACTATGTGCCAGGCACCCTACTCACAACATCCACCATCTCCTTCTCACCCGAGAACCCTGCGGGAAGGTGCCATTAGACCTGTGTAGAGAGGAAGAAAGCAGAGTTCACAGAGATGGTGATTTGCCCAAGACCACATACCCAGCAAGTGCAGAGCGACATTCAGACCCAGGCCTGTCTGTCTCAGGGAAAGGGGAGCAAGCAAAGATCAGGGCGGGGGTAAGATTCACTGGGTCCATGCACAGACCGGCCTGCCCCCATGTACAAGAATGACTAAGCCTGGGGAATAAGACACAGATCGATTAATGTGTCCAAACCTGTCTAGGGTTCCCTGGAGGGCAAGAGCACCTTCACCTCGCATTTGCAAGGCAAACCTCATCCTCAGGTGACGTCAGACCTGCACAAATAGTGTCCTGGAGGGAGGAAAATCACAAGCCTGTTCAGAGGGGAAAAAAAGGTTGTTTTAACCCAATGCAGCCTTGGTTGGCACTGTGCCAAGCAAGCACGGAGATGCTGAGTAGAATCAGACACTGTGGAAGATTTGTGACTATGATGATTACTTTAGCCTTGGACGAGAATTCGGCCCTGAGTACTGGTCACTCTATTGGGTGGAGTGAAAATGTGGGACTCGGGGGGAAAGCATCAAGGACCCAATACCCTGCAGGCACAGTCTGCTCCAGGGCCCTGCCCAGCACAATGAGAGCAGGCCCCCAAAACCCCTGCCCCACAGCTCCACCCTCACCAGGTGCTCACCCCACCCAGAGCATCCAGCTCCTCCCAGGGGCCAGGAGGGCAGCCCGGGGACAGATCCATCTCCAATCTGGGCTCACACAATTACTGTCCTTGGTAGTGACACAAGTGAATGTGGATATGGTCACTCTGTAAGGCTGCAGGCTGTCCTTGCCGTCTCAGGGGGCCTGTTCCCCAGGCCAGGACCCTCACCCCAGCCAGCCTGCCTTCAGTGTTCTAAGCTGAAACCAAAGCGTGAGTGGACCTGAGGAAGAACTCAGTCTAAGTCTGGATATCCAAACCCAGTGGGCATGCTCTCACCACACACCCCTACACACACACACACACACACACACACACACACGGGTACTTGCTTCCCACCTGCCTAAAATGATATTTAAAAAATCAAATCATTCCCCACAGACAGCCTGGAATTAAGCCACACAAAAAAAATACCAATAGCTGTTGCCTTCTAAAGTTTCTGTTACGCAGGAAGCTGACAGAACAATCGCTCTGATGACCTTTCCACCAGGCATTTACATATGCTCTCATCTAACGCGCCCTCAAAGCAGCCCAGGAGTCCTTGTGGAGGAGGAGCTAAGGCACAGAGAGCTCACTGGAGAGGACCCTGGCGTGCCCACCCAGCCTCATCCTCACGTCTTCCTTCCCAACAGCGTCAGGGGGTCAGGTTTCCACGCCACCCCCATTCGGCCCAGGAGGTGGCGCTGGAGGCGATGGACAATGGTTGAACTCTAGACAGATTTTGAAGACAACCAAAGAATACGTGAGGGACTGCCTACGAGAGAAAGGAGTTAAGGATGAGACTGGGCATGGAAGTACTGGGGACCCTGGAGGGCTTCATACAAATGCAAAAGTATATGTTTTCACATTGGGAAACATTAAATTCCAAATAACTTAATTTAATCTTTCAGAAGAAGAAATGTTAGTTCCCTGTTTCATGGCGGCCTCTATGTACTGTCGTGCCCGGAGGCCCTCTTTGGCTGGAGAATGTTTTCCTCTCTGACAGGCTTCTTTACACAATTTCTTCTAGTTATTAGCGTGTGCACACTCGGGATATAAACTGATCTCAAGGGAAGAATGTTGCCAAAACAACATGAGGTTCCTTCCCCAACTAAACATAAATCATTCCTTGATCCAATGGCGTACCTTACGTCAATGATCAAGGGCCCGCTGTCCCCTCTCCTGGCTCCAATGTGACACACTCCTCCCTCTCCACAGCTCACAGCAGGCCGGGAAGACCGGGGGTCTTCACTCTGCTCCCCTGGCTCCCCTAGGATGGACGGCTGTGGCTGGAAAGAAATGGAGGTTGCTCTGGTCAATTTCGATAACTCAGACGAAATCCAAGAACAGCCAAGCTACCCCACAGACTACAGCCCCGCCAGCCCGAAAGGCCGGCCTGGGAGCAGCCCCTTCTCCAACTGGAGGCTCCTCATCAGTGACAGCACCAGCCACGAGACGGCCTTCGCCAAGTTCCCAGGAGACTACGTCGATCCCCCAGAGCCCGAGCCAGCAGTCATGAATGAAGGGAACCAGCGGGTGATCATCAACATCGCTGGGCTGAGGTTCGAGACCCAGCTCCGAACCCTCAATCAGTTCCCAGAGACCCTCCTGGGAGACCGGGAGAAAAGGATGCAGTTCTTTGACTCCATGAGAAATGAGTATTTCTTTGACAGGAACCGACCCAGTTTTGATGGAATCCTGTATTATTACCAATCTGGTGGGAAAATCCGGCGCCCAGCCAATGTCCCTATCGACATTTTCGCTGATGAGATTGCCTTCTATGAGCTGGGCAGCGAGGCCATGGACGAGTTCCGGGAGGATGAAGGTTTCATCAAAGAACCTGAAACGCTGCTCCCCACCAATGACTTCCACCGGCAGTTCTGGCTCCTCTTTGAGTACCCCGAGAGCTCCAGCGCTGCCCGTGGCGTGGCCATGGTCTCCGTGCTGGTTGTGATCATCTCCATCAGCATCTTCTGCCTGGAGACACTACCCGAGTTCCGAGAGGACAGGGAGCTGAAGGTGGTGAGAGACCCCAGCCTTAACGTCAACAAGACGGTCCTCTCCCCCACCATCTTCACTGACCCTTTCTTCATGGTGGAGTCCACCTGCATTGTGTGGTTCACCTTCGAACTGGTGCTCCGGTTCGTGGTCTGCCCCAGCAAGACTGGCTTCTTCAGGAACATCATGAACATCATCGATATCATCTCCATCATCCCCTACTTTGCAACAGTCATCACAGAGCTCGTCCAGGAGACGGAACCAACTGCCCAGCAGAACATGTCCCTGGCCATCCTGAGGGTCATCCGGCTGGTGCGGGTCTTCCGAATCTTCAAGCTCTCCCGCCACTCCAAGGGGCTGCAGATCCTGGGACAGACGCTGAAGGCTTCCATGCAGGAGCTGGGGCTGCTCATCTTCTTCCTCTTTATCGGGGTCATCCTCTTCTCCAGCGCCGTCTACTTTGCCGAGGTAGACGAGCCAGAGTCCCATTTCTCTAGCATCCCTGATGGCTTCTGGTGGGCAGTGGTCACCATGACAACGGTGGGCTATGGAGACATGTGCCCGACCACCGCAGGGGGGAAAATCGTGGGCATTCTCTGTGCCATCGCTGGGGTCCTCACCATTGCGCTCCCTGTGCCCGTCATCGTCTCCAACTTCAACTACTTCTACCACCGGGAGACTGAAAAAGAAGAGAAGCGACACATTCCAAGAGAAATCCACAAAATCCTCAACAGTGTGGATTCAAGAATGGGCAGCACAGACTCTCTCAGTAAGACCAATGGCGGCTGCTCTGCCGAGAAGCCGAAGAAGTGACCTGTCCAGGGCCCCTGGCGCCCGTGTCTCCGTCTGTCTCCCTTCTCCCGTCGCGCCCTCCCCCCATGCCCCTGCCTCTTCCTCTGTTTTTCCAAAGACTAAAATGTATCTTTTGTGACCAACAGGCCATCTTTAACTGCAAACTGTTTTCATAAACTCATTCTGTTGCATTTTTTTTTATTTGTTTGTTAATCCTCACCTGAGGATATTCTTTCCCTTGATTTCGAGAGAAAGTGAAAGGAAGGGAGGGAGGGGGAAAGGGAGAGAGACATAGATTGGTTGCCTCCACATGCACCCCGATCTGGGCTGGGGATTGAACTTCCAACCCAGGTACGTACGCGTGAACGGGAATCGAACTTGTAACTTCAGTGTGCTGGCCAACGCTCTAACCACTGAACCATGGCCAAGGCTGCTGCTGCATTTTCTGAGCTGTTTGTTCTCAATCAACCACAGGAAGATTTCATTCTCCTTTCTGGTGAGGGGGTAGTTTAGATCCTGCTTCCCACCTGTGGTTCCCAAGACCAGCAGTATTGGCATCACGTGGGAGCCAGGCGCTGCAGCATGCAGGCCCCGCCCAGACCTGCTGACCCCGAGTCTGCATTCCAGCGAGATCCCGGGGACTCGTTTCCACAGAACGATGAAGAAGCTCTGGCCTTGCTCTTCCTGGAGGAAGCAGGTGGAAAGGCCAGGGACTGCTATGAGCCGTAAGAGCTCAGGGTGGTTGAACAATATCACCTTACCCCTGGTGGCATTGCACACATTTTCCCAAGTTCTTTCCCTACATGATCACACTGCATCTCAAAGTAACTAGGAGAACAGATCCGATGGTTATTCTCACAATACTTACATAGATAACAACCTAGGGGACAGCCACTTAACTAAGGTACCAGAAACAGTGACACAGTCAATTCTGGGACCCAAATGTCCTCCCTAGTAGTCTAGTGCTCTTCCCACTGATGGCTGTGATGGAACTGGGGGAGGGGAGGGGGGCTGAGGGCTCCGTCTTTCAGAGGATTCGGACAGCACAGCTCTCTGCCCTGGGGGTCCCCATGTCCCCGCCAGCCTGGGAAGGCAGTGCCCCTGGCCCCTGGCTCCTCAGGTCCCTGTCCGAGCAGTGGACAAGCAGAAACCCCCAGTGCCTATCACTGGTGCGCCTCCGTGAATGTGCGCACAGACCAGAGCCCCTGAGTGAGGGTCCTTGGGGGAAATGGTCATGTCCGTCTGCCTTGGATTCAGCTCCCTTTGAGTCATCAGGAATTGACTTTGGGGGCAGCTGGGACAAGAGCAGCAGGGTGCTAAGGCACGTGCCCAGAGGCCAGGACCCCCAAGGGGGGTGGTTGGGACAGGCCACCTAAGGAACTGACCTCTGGAGAGGATCCCACTCGGCCCAGCCAGCCCCCAGGTGAGGGAATGGAGTTGGAAATCCCAGAAGTCGGGGAAGGAGTCTCCACTCTCTCTCTCCCCATCCACCCCCTGCTCTCCTCGGGCCCAACGCTCAACATCTGGCCAAACCTCAGGTGACAATGGCCCCAGGCCACAGGTCACTGCGCAGCTCCACCCCACACAATCTGGGGACTCCCAGCGGCACACAACCTGCCAGACAGTGCTGCGGCCGCCGTGCCACCGCGCGGTGCCCAGGAGGCAGCCTGCGTCTGCAGGCGGCGGCCAGGGGGGAGGCTGAGAAGCAGGTTCTGCACCCCCCACGCCCCTGTTGCCAGTGGGGCAGGGGCCCGGTCCCTGTGAGCCAGCACTGAGTCAGCAACCCCAGGAGACAGGCTGCGGGCCCCTCTCGCCATCTGTCCCCCAGCCTCTGTTCGCAGGGAGACCTGATGTCTGCAGGGAGCACCCAAGGTGACTCGCTGACAGGAAAGGAGAGACGCGGGGCAGACAGGACAGGGCTGCCGAGGGGGTCAAGTGCAAAACACAGAAGGAAAAGTATTCCCAGTGCTGTCACGGAGGGAGACTTGTCGGCAGCCAGACTCAGAGAACCCCACCTTCTAGAGAGCAGAGCAGGGCCCAGGGCAACGCCTTTCAGCCAGTTCACACTTTACAGCCACTGAAGAGGGACACAGGAAGAACAAAAGGCTCTCTTTTCATTTTCATAGTAAAAATATGTAAATAATACAAGAGAAATGACAGGGCGCTACAGCCTGCACCGGGCTTCCACGTCTGTTTCCCACCATGTCAGGCTCCTGTCTTCGCAAAGAACTGCGCACAGCAAAACTACTAACGAGGGTGTTTTAGTCATCATTTTCTTTTTTAAAATGATTTGTAAACCATAAAGCATTTCAAAAACTTAAGGATCTTTTTTATTTTTTATTTTTTTCTTAATGGAAAGCTATCCAGACTTGGAATTTAATGACCTAGCTGAGTTTTTCCTAATTATATGACTTTGGTCCAAGTGAGCCTCAGTTTTCTTAATGGAGATCACAAATGCCTATGTCACAGCGGTAGCCTCTCCACCCTGCCCCACGCGAGGGGCAGTCCTCAGGTCTTCCCCACTGCCCTCCCTTCACCAACCTGGCCAGTGGGACTCCACAGGCTGCCAAAGTGGCTGCTGGGGTCCTGCTCTCTGTTAGAGACAAGCCCCTTATGACTTCCTGCTTCCCCGATTCTGATAGCTGTACTCACCCTCTTTGAGCTTACTTCCAAATCCAAAACGTGGGCAGGACTCCAGCGCCTCGCCAGGCTGCTGGGGTGCTCAGGGGCGTGCTGCTGAGAGTGGTTGTGGCTGTAAACGCACACGCACTGAAGGACCTGTTATTCTTTCAAAGCTGCGTTATTAAGCCCCAGTAAGCATGGAACTTGCCTTTACAGCCCAAGTCCGATCTCAGTCTGGTTCACAGACAGAAACAGAACCAGCTGGCCTGGGGCCGGGGCAGCAGTAGGGCTGGGGATCACTCGACACACTGCCCCCCCCCCCCGAGGCGCCCTCTTCCTGCTGTTTCGTTTCACCTAAAACAGCCACTGCGAGGAAGTACTGCTTCCATTCACAGACAAGGAAACTGACGCTTCCAGAAGTTAAATAAGTTCTCCCTAACTGGGGGAATTTTCACAGGCACCCCTAAATCAAGGCAGTGCGGGATCAAGATGATCAGACATCGATAGTACCCCGGCTGTCACCCTCAATCGGTCTGCACCCACGTGGGACAGCAGCATTCCCGGGCTCCAGGACAGCAGAGAGGCTGAGGGTGAGCCCCGCCTCCCTGCACCGGCCCCTCCTGGTCCACACCTGTGCCGAGGCCACCAAGGAGCTGTCACTCGTCTGAGAAGAAGGCTCCTCGGGACCCCTGAGACAGCCTCCCAGCACAGAGCTGCCCGCACCCTGTGGCCCGAAGTGGCTGCCACCCAGAGCTGCCCACACACAGGCTCCCTGCCCTACACTCCCGGCTTGGTCAGCAGCTCGTGTCCTGACGGCACTGCCCAGCCCTCACTCTGTTCTGGGCACAGTCCCCTCCCCACGACGTGCTCAGACACTCTGCGAGGACACACGAGCTGGTGCAGGAACGTATTAGGCAGGACGCTGTTGGTTGCAAGTGGCAGAAACCCAACTCAAACTGCACCAAAGGAGGGGACTGTACCAGCTCACGTGACTGACAGATGCAGGAGGGGAACTGACTGTACCAGGGACTCCAATATCACCTTCAGACTCTCGTCACCTCTGTCCATCTCCCTTCTCCGCCTGCTCCACTGCACGGCGCCCTGAGGCGGGCGTTCTCCATGGGGCAGGGCACGTGGCCGCCCCGGCCTGGTGTGCTCCATCGAACCAAAACGCAGTGATAAATACATCCCCGTATATACACACACACATAGAATCACCTTTGTATCTGAGTATTACCTGCAATTCCCTCGACAATGTTCGGTCCAGGGGCAGGGATTTTCCTCTGCCTGGTCCACTGCTGTTTCCCAGGGCCTGTCAGTGCAGGTGCTCGTGGCCCTGGCTGGTTTGACTCAGCAGTTAGAGTGCTGGCCTTTGAACCAAAGGATCAAGGGTTCAATTCCCGGTCCAGGGCACCTACCTGGGTTGCAGGTTTGATCCCCAGCCCCGGGTCGGGGTCGTGCAGGAGGCACCAATTGATGTCTCTCTCTTACATTGATGTTTCTCCCTCTCCCTCTCTCCCTCCCTTCCACTCTATCTAAAAATGGAAAAACATCCTCGAGTGAGGACTTAAAATAAATAAATAAAATAAATATTTGTTCACTTAATGAACTGTCTTCTCAAGCCCTCCCTCCCAATTACCCTGAAGAGACCAGACTAAGCCACCCTGTAGGCCTGGCAGGATTTCATTCCCCCTCCCCTGCGCCGAACCCTAGACTATAGGCTGAGTCAGACACTCCTTAGTGAGGGGTGTGAGTGCATTATGGGCAGAGGGCTCTGGGCTTGGGGTGCAGATCGGGGAGGGACATGGGGGAAGCCTGGCCCAGAGCCCGGCCGGCTCCCAGCGCCCTCCCTGGGCAGCTCTGCCTGGTAAGGCCTTAGAGGGGCAGGAGAGTAGGACCCCCCTTCTCAGACCCCCATTTGCAAGGTCTCTCGGGAGGCTGTGTCTCGGACCCCTCACAAGCTTTCCAGGGGAACACTGGGCCTTGCAAAGGCCACCCTTCTCCACAAGCATCCGGGAAGTCCCACCTCCCAGGCAGCATGGACTTTTCCTTTTGAGTCCAGACTCTGGCCAGACCCCACGCACTGACCCAGGGGGCCCCCTCCGCAGACACCTGCTCCTGGGGAAGTCCTGCTCAGGGCCGAGGAAGGCGTGCGGTCCCTCCTCCAGGGACAGGGCCCACCCTCAGCTCCGTGTCCCTCCTTAGATCCTGGGGATGGAAGGTGTCCCTTTTTGCCTCGGCAGCATCCAGCCTCCTAGAAATAAACTGCATTCACCGCATGGAGGGAAGCTCTCCAAAGGTCCTTTGAAGCAAGGAAGAAAGCCGCCCTGGTCTCCCCAGAGACCACTGTGTCACCCAGCGGCAGATCCAGAGACAGGAGACCGTCTGCTTCAAACGCAGGGATGAAAAGGAACCGGGGGTGG